AGAGCCATGTACACAGAGCTGCAGCAGCTGGTGTTAGGGCCGCAGGTACGTCCCACGGCCATCACTGACCAGGAGCTGCTCTGCCCTAATGCACAGGTGGGTGTCTTTCCTTTCCTTCACCTAGAGTCACGTGGGTCAGCTGTACAGAGATCCCTACAGAGGGACAGTCCCAGTGAGTGAGTTGCTCAGTTTCATTAAAGTCACTCATCACAGTGGTTCTGAGGTTCTGTGGTGTCACAAACGGTTCTTTACTCTCACCTCTGAGATGTCCACACTTTCAACACACTGTTTGGTTGAAGGGCAATTTAGGGTCAAACTGCATGATAGTTTTAGAATTCTTTCTCACAGTATCTAAGTATCTATACAGTACTTTAATACATGTCTTTTTGTGATGATATTCTGTGAATTATTTAAATATTAGCTCTTTTCTGGTTTGCTTTTTCTCACATCTGTCTTAGATAAAATAAATACATGAAGAATGTTCAAATAATCCAGAAGCTTTGTCACATGCAAAGTTTTCTTTTGTAATGTTTTCCAAATGAACAGTTTTGCTTGAAGAAATTTGACTTTCTCTCCAACGTCGGTCTCTTGGAGCCTATTATATATAAATATCCTACATGGCAGGTTTTTCACACCTCAGGGAGACTGATGCTTACTGTATGTACAGAAGTCTTATCAGGTGAATGGGTGGATGTAGTACTTTTGAAAATGGCCCAGTGTATTGTTAGGTCACTTCTGGTTACTGTACACATCTAGGCTGGAAATTGAGGCTGAAATTTTTTGTAGACAACAGAGTCATAAAGATAGATGAAACCAACGAGACAGTGAAGTGAATTTTTGAGTCTGGTCATTAGGTTTTTTTCTGGTCTCTCACCTCCATGTTTTCTCGCTCCTTGTCTGACTTGGTCTGGTCTCCTCAGGAGCTGACGGTGAAGCTGGTGGAGGTGGAGTCTCAGCTGCAGAGTCTGCAGAACATCATGCAGAAAATCATGGGGGAGTTCAAATCCAAACGTTCCCAGCTGGAGCGTGACCCACTCCTGAGACGAGAGAGACAACTGTACATCTTCTTCCACTTGGATCCACGACTCTTGCAGAAAGTAATGGAAGACCTGGAGGCCAAGATGGCAGCGAAGACGGTGCCGCAATAGGCCCGCGCCCCAGGAAAACACCTGTGACATGAGAAGATGGATATGTTGAAATTGAACTGTACAGCTGTGTACCTGTGTGTCATGTCTGTATTATACCTTAAACAGTAAATAAAGTAATACAAACTCCTGTTTATTTCTTAAATTTCTGATGAATGAATGGATGTTGTGGAAGGTTCTGGTCCACATGTCACTGACCAGTCTTTCTTTGTCTCCCTGTTCTGTTGAAGAGTTCCTCAGGTAGGGAGAAGCTGATTGCGTTAGAGTGATGATGGACGAGTCCAAAGACAGGCTGTACTCAGGAGCGCTGTCTCAGGCAGCCAAGAAGGTTCTGGCTGTTCTGTACGCTCAGAGCAGCCAGCGATATCCCAGGCAGAGGCAGTCAGGTAGAAAAAGAAGCAAGTTGATGGTGAAGATGGTACAGAAATGTTCCTGGACATTCAGAGTTTGTATTTGTGTCTTTGTCTGGTGGCAGCAGTGAGGATTTGTGAGAGCCAGACTTGGCTTCAGAGCAGCATGAACATGACACAAGAAGAGAGAGAAGGCAGAGACACGCAGAGAGAAACCAGGTCAAGGCTGCACACACTCCATGTTGTGTTACTGTGTTAAGGATGTTCACGTTGGTCATTGCTGTGGTTACTTTTTCATTTAAAAAAAAAAACATCTTCAGATTAGCTCCTGCCAGAAGAGGTGAACGACTCAAATTAACACAGAAATTCTAGAATGTTATAACACTCCTGTGGCTAAAAAAAAAACATCAACACCAATCAAAATAACTCCAATCTTTGATGGTCGAAAAAATCATTCCTCCCAGCTGTCTCCGCCCTTCCTCATTCATGAGGGGAGGATTTCCTGACAGAAGTGGGAGTTGCCCACACAGAGGACAATGTTCAGTTTGAGCTGTAAAAACCATATTGACCATCCTTATCACCATCGCTTAACACCCACAAAATAAATACATCTGTTCAATCAACTCCAACACTTCTGTTTATTCTGTAAAACACAGTCAAGAATCTGGTGTCTGAAACACATTTGTAACCTTCTGAAAATGAACCTCAGTGTTTAAATCAAATTGACTTCACCTGGAGAAGCTCAAAGGTGTTCCCATTTAGAGCAGGAAACCGAGACTACGGTCACACAGTCTCACCAGGAAGGAGAAGCTGACAAAACATTTCCTGGTCTGATGGGTTCCTGGATTGTACCACAAACACTTTGAAGAATTAAAGTTCACTGTGAGCTCCATTAAAACATGGATCCTTCTTGACTAGTGTTTTTAAGGCGTGTGTTGGTACAGTTTGGACAAACAGTTTGAGACAGGAGTTGTAGCTCAGTGTGTCTGATGAAGTTTCCTGTGGAATGTAGTAAATGGACCGAAAATCAAAAGACGTCAAAACATTATCTGGATTTCAATCGGTCAAACAAAGTAAATGTACATTTACATATAGAAGCAACATTTCAGGTGAATACTTGTTAAACTGGCGTATAATAACATAACATTTAAAATGAATGCCACTTCTGTTCCATGTCAGGCCATGGCTCCAGCCCCAGGTGTCTTTGTCCTCCCCTCATGACCACCTGCTGTCTCAGACCTCGTCCTGCTGTCAGCACATGGAGACATCAGAAACCTGCCCGTCAGAGCAGGCCTCCTCCTCCTCTTCCTCCTCCTGCTGGGGGTCATCACTCCACAGGCACTGGCTTCAGAACCCTGCCTTTGGTCACAGGCCACAGGTTTATTCCCACACACAGTTGTCCACAGGTCCAATTCACCAGTCCAGCCCGTCTCCTATCTTCATGCAGGACGAGGTTTCGAAGAGGGTGAGGGATTCCTCTCACAGAGATGACTTCACCCTGACTCTCCAAACACCAGCCAGGTTTTTTAAACATCAGTTTGAGGAGTAAGTTGTAGAAGACAAGAAGACATTTAGTGTTGTAACTGTAGTGGACACAGTGATGGACAAATTGTATCTCATCCTATAGCACAGAGGACACGAGACCTTCCTTCGTCAACAGTGTTTCCACAGATGACGAGAGTCCTGATGTGGTTCTGGTCCCCACAGTGGAACACTCCAGTGTCCTTCATACAGAACCAGCCTCTGAATGCCAACAGGTCTCATTCTGCTGTAGAACAAGTGTGGGTTCTACTGCCAACAGTCAAGGCACCGTCACAGAGATGAAAGAAAATACTGCAGCTGCAGACTGTTATCCACAATGTAAACCACCTGCAGAAGAGTCCAGACTGGAGAGACGTGGACATGTTCACAGAGACACTGACCTGATGGTGAAGGCAGTTAAAATCCACCAAGATGGAAATGAAGATGAGAAGGAATTGAAGAAGCAAATGGAGCTCAAACAGACCAATAAAATGAGACGATCTCTAGTGTTGTGGACATCAGAAGACAAAGACTTGTCTCCTGGTTGTATACCTGAAGGACATGAGGATAAGGAAAAGCCAGTGAGTGACTACAATAGCAGCGTGAAACATATCTCAGTGTCTTCAGAAAGAGAAACCAGCGAGGTCCTGAGTCAGAGCCTGGATGAAAGAGCTGAGGAACCTCACAGTGTGAGAACAGTGGAGCTGACGAGAGATGAGCAGGTCACTGCTGAAGTCAAGGCTGACTTTGAGATTAGAATTAAGGACAAATGGACAACAGTCAGTCTCACCAACACCACAGATGAGAAGGAGTCAGACCTTTCCAGGGCCCAACAAAGACATGGACAGGGTCAGATGAGTGGTGAGGAAATCAAGGAGACGTCTATTAAAGATAGTGAGTCTATGATTCCACATATGGACAGAGGAGCAGAGAACACCTTCACAGGTACATGTGCTATTTCTCCTACGTTGTTTATCCTTTTATACACTTACTGCCTTTAGAACAGCAGAAAAACCTCTGGACGACCAACGGTCAAACAAAGCCCAACTGTTCAGTCCAACTACAAAAACAAATACTTCCAGTATCTCAAAACTAAATCTGTTTCTGTCGCTATGAACGTTTGAAGCGATGCATTTCAACTAATTGCCACTAGAGTGTGCCAGAGTACCGCATGCAGCAGTTATTCACCTGAGCAGCACAATCGAGTAGTAACACGGAGCAAAATGGTCAGATTTGAACATTCGAATTCGAACAGTGTTTCATTATATGTATATGTATTTATAAGTATATAAATACATACACGCACATATATAGAAACAAAGTGATATATATAAAGAAAAAACAGGTGCCCTTTGACCTGTTACTATATATATACATATTAATAATATAATACATATAAAGCTCTCTAAATGAATTTCTTGTGTGAAGAGTATTGATTGCTAAAGATGCTCGGCACTGATGAGTGATGCCGCGCTCGTCTTACAGTCATGGAAACGGAGAAGGAGTCTCAGCTGTTGAGACAATGCTGAGTCAACACACACACAAACACACACGCGGACACTTACTCAGCAAAACACTCGGGTTTGCTGTAATAAAATGTCAGTTTATTCTTAATCAGATTTATCGTGTTGGCTGACCTTGTCCTGTCACACACTGCTGAGCTGTCCAGAACACAAACACACACGTCTGTCTACACATGCTTACACAACAAAGTGTCTCTGTTGACTGATGGATGTGTCTCAAAAATGATGATCAGACACAAACGGTTATATTTCATCTTCGCAGGGGATGCTGGGAAAAGTCTGACACAAGGGTTGTCCCCGGAATGTCTCCATCAGAACTCTGATAACATACAGGTGAGTGTGTGAACCAAGAAGAACGTTCCCTGCAAAGATAAATCTCTTTTCCACAAAGTGTTTTATTTGTTTTTCCATGTTTCTAGGAAAATCCTGGCATTCAAATTTGTCCACTAAAAACAAGGCTTGTTTGTCCTTGACTTTAGAAATGGTTTTTGTGAGACAACAAAACTTTGTTGGTTTTTGCAGCAGGCCGACAGTACGATGGCTCCCCACTGTATCATAATAAAAAGTCCTGACACAGTGGTCCAGGTTGTGTTTTGGCAAGAAAAGACAGTGAACAGCAAAGTCAAAGTGGGAGGAGCACTGAGGGGAAGGAAGGTGGGAGGAAGAAGGTGGAGAGACTGTAGAGAAAAGTCTTTCCTGTATTGCTGGAGTCAGCAACAAACACACATATTGAACACAGATCCATACTGTGTTCGTTTTTCACCTCATCCATCCCTGTTCTGAACAACTGCCTCTGTCCTGTCTTCTTTTTCATCTATATCCTCAAGCACGGCACTCACAGGTTGTGAGGGGGGGGGCAGGTTGTGTTTTCAGGAGGAAATGAGAGAAACTCCTGAAGCTGAATTAAAGGGATGGCAGGTTGTGTTTTCAGGAGGAAATGAAATAACTGATCTTTTTACATCCATGACGCATGAAAAATCCAAATCCGCTCGTGTGATGTTGAGCTGTGTGTGTGCTCCTGTGTGTTTACATGTATTTATGACAAAAAGGAGCTTTGTTTTTTTTTTTGAAGACAAAGTGAAGGTTGCTCAGAGGTGAGGCTGTGATTTACCACAGAGAAGTCTCCAATTTCCTCCCTTCTTGTTCCTTCCTTCTTTCCCTTCTCATCTGTCGTCCTGAACACTGAACTAAAGATGCTCACACTGCTGCCTTTATATCACTAACTGGCTCTAATACCTACTGAGGTGGTGTCAGACCTTCACCTTCATTCTGGAGATGGAGTTACAGGTGTGGAACAGGTCGGTCCTGGACCATTTACCTGTGTGTTCTATAAAAGGCTTCCACACAGGCTGTAGTTGGGGGTGAGTTTATTTACAATGTGGGTTTCAGTTTTAACATTTCTATTGAAAACACCGTCCTACTGTTTAGTGTCCAGTCCAGCTTGGTGACTTGGTAAGGTGTAGACTCCTCATCTGTCCACTAGGGGGTTAAACTGAGAAGAGACATCAGTTTATTCAGAGCTGAGTCTGGTCTTCAGCTCTTTTATTAAATGGTTCCTGTAAGAACAGAACTAATCTGAGCGTGTAGTCTAGTTAAAATACATTGTGGAGTATAAGGTGTTTCTAGTATGTGTATTAGGATTTGAAAAAAATACTGGGACCAATCCTGGTGTTGGTTTTTGGATGTCCTTAGTTGGATCGTATGGTGTGAGACAGGGTTTACAAATCCTAGCTCCTTGAACTGGACTCAAATACAATAGATGACCTCTGTAAGACCCGTGTGGGTCATCTGTGTACCCCCACTGATTTTAATGTGATTTTAATGTAAACAAACTGTCACATTGATTTCTGTTTTTATTCCTTTGTCATAGAACAAGTCACTGACAAAAACCTTCCTGACAGCCCAGGACTCTAAGGAAAGAAAGTTGAGCCTTTTTTCTCCTCACCAAACTCCTCTACATTCTTGTCCTCTGATTCATTCGTCCTCTCTGAAGAGGACACACTCAGACCCTCAGCTCCAGGACCACGATGCTCCTCCTAACACCAACCCAAGCAGATGTGGGTCAAAATGGAAGCAGAAAAGAGTCGGTGAGCGTCGGAGCTTTGAAGCAGCAGAAGACACTGAGTCACCATCCAAAGCTGGCTCCCTGAAATACCTGACCTCTGACCCAAGAGTGAAGGACTCTGGGAAGCTCAACACAGAGGAGAAGCAGCAGATGCTCAAGAGGGTTTCACAGTCTGAGACAGTGCTGCTCACCTTGGTGTTTCAGGATGGCAGAACTCAGTTAGAGCCAGAACAGGTGAGAAACACGGCAGAAAGAAAGGTCTACGTTAAATCCACCGTCTTCACGAAACATGTTTAGGTCTAGATCAGTCAAGAGTTCACCAGGTGGTTCTGACAATGAGCAGGTCTGGTTCCCAACTGCCTCTGGATGACCTGCACCTCCACCAGCTGAAATACAACCCTAATCCATTACAGAGCCTCCTGATGCTTTACTGAAACATCCAGTCATTTTCATGAACAAGTGTACATACTCACAGAGATTAAAATGTATTTATTTTCTTTTTTGATTCTTGATGTAGAAAGTCACTGCTCCAGTGTGTGGCCTCATGATGCTGATCATCTGGAAGGTTCTCACCCCCAGTGAGAGATCAACAGACTCCCTTGGACCAAACGACAGCCTGGTTTACTTAAAACTACACAAACAAAAACCTGCCTGGGTCCAACACTCCAGCCATCTGAGCCCGGAGCTCTTTACCAGGTACAGAAATGATGGCATTCAGATACTGAGGTTGACTTGATGAAGCCATTATGAAGTGTGGAACCTCTTTGTGTAGAGATGTGCTGCTGCAAGTGCTGTCAAGACCTGGGCTGGTGGTTTGTTACAAGGCCAAGGATTTTCTTCGAACAGTTCTGCAGTTTTATGAAGACGAACTTACTTGGAAACAAGGTCGGGTCATCTTCAGGTCTTTATCAAAGATTGGATGAGGAAGTGTCTGGTCATCTTCAGGTCTTTATCAAAGATTTGAATGATGTTCAGATGTTCTAGGTACAAACCACTGGTGTCAGTGCAAGCAGTCATGAACCAAGAACTTGTGTGTTTGTTCAGTGGCGGGCTGTCACATCCAGGACCCACAGGTGTCAGGGTGGCTGCTGGATCCTGCTGATCCCTCTTCCTGCTTCCATGATCTTCTCAATAAACACTGTAAAAAATACACTCCATCATCTACACCGGGAGCAAGGCCAGTGAGTACAACAGCTTTGTTACACAAACACAACATAAAGGTTCATCTTTGGTTTAGGGAGTACCTTAAACTCATTGTGGGCTGACTGTGGTTCAGCTCTGGCTCATTTGAAAAAACGTTTAAAGAAAAAATGTAATTTTTGTCTCAAGTTACTTAAAGTGAGAAGAACTACCATTGCAGTTGCTGAGGAGGGTTTTATTAGTCCCTGCCTTTCCTTTTTCCTCTCAGGGGTCTCGGTTCATCTCAGCTCTCTGCTCCCTCTACTGGCTGAATCTTGAGCTGCGCTCTAAACTACAGGTCAGTCTATCAGTAGATGTCCCCGGTTGTGGAGCTGTTGTTCTCTGATGTTTGAGAGGTACAAGGATCTGATGTCGAACTTCCAGAACTTTACATGTCTATATTAATGTTAGACTGGAAGGATGTGGGTTTGATGCCAGATCCGTGGTTGGTTTGCATCAGGAAGGTCATCCAGTGTACAAACTCAGCCAGGTCACTGTTTGGACAACTGATAAAACAGGGACAAGCCAAAGGTGAGTCTCATTAAAACTCTTCTTGGTCCCATGTCCAGAGTCACGGCCTGTGGGAGCTGTACTCACACATGGAGCTGAACATGATCCCTGTTCTGGCAGGTGAGTCGTGTCCTTGAATAATCCTAGTACCAGCCAAAACTGACTGACAAGGTCCTGGACAGTCATTGACTTAATGAGGTCACACTAAAGAAGACGAAGAAACACTAAATGTATTTACTTTATCTTTGTGTTTTACCTCATTGTTTTGTGGATCTCTGATTGGTGTCGTTTCAGCCATGGAAAGTCAACACATCCATGTAGATAAAGCTGCGCTGAGGGGAACTTCAGACCTGCTGGGTGTAAGTCCAAAAGACATCGCTTTTTTATTCTATACCCTTTCAAGGTCACACCTCCACCTCTAGACTAAAAAGAGTTTAAATCTGTTTAAACGTTTCAAAGTTTAGTCAAGAGTAGGACAAAACACATGGAATCACATAAAAGCGTCTACTTCAAACATCCTCATCCAGCTCAGCTGTTGCTGTTGTTGCTGTTGTTGTTGTTGTTGTTGTTGTTGTTGTTGTTGTTCTCCTCCTCCATGTTCTTCTGGCTGCTGAAGCACAGAGCTGCTCTGCTCACGCGTGGAAACCATGATCCTCCAGATAACTTTTCTGTTCAGGATTTGAATCAGTGTTTATTGTTAATTGTTGTGGACACCCGTCCAACACACACTCAATCTTCACACCCACGGTGGTGTGTGCCAGTGAGGTTGTTTTTGTGGAGCGTGAGGCCTGGTGTTTTGTTGTCTGACTATAAATAGGATGTAGAGCCTGTTCTCTCCAAGAGGCTGAGCCACAGGAAGGAGCAGCGTTGTCATCCTGACACACACACACACGCAGAGGACGCAGTGAGATTTTTTTTCAACTGCGGCAGAGTCTGGTACTGGCGAGCCTGCGTGGTCCTGCTCGTCTCCACTCTGTCGTATTGGATTTTCTTTCTGTGTGAGTCGTCAGGTCTTGTGGTCTTGTCTGTACAGCAGCAGGCCGTTCAGGCTTCATCTCACACACACCCACAGACTCACGTTGCCTGCTTTGTACCGGAATTAAAGCTTCGCTCCGTCATTTGGTTCTGATCCTTTGAAATTCCAGTCCAGTGCAGCTTCTTCATATTTCTTGATCTGCGGAGGTCACCACTGCTGATCCTCTGCCTCCTCATCCCTCTGCTCTCAGACACACTAAACAAAGTCAATGTTTTGAAAGACATTTTGGATTTTAGTTTTTTTATTTACTGCAAAAAATCTTCTTCTCACATTATTGGTTCATTCAGAAATGATGGACCAAAAAAATGTTAAAATATGTTAAGGTTTTCATTCAAAGACCATTCACAAGGTATTTGAAATGTGGCACTCTCCCTGCACGTCCCTCTGTGTGTGTGTGTGTGTTAGAGAGACGGCTCTCAGGGTCTAGAATTCAATATTGATGAAGCAGTCTGGAGCCTGCTCTGGGCTCAGAGGGAGAGACACAGCAGTAGATTCTGGAGGTTGTCTCTAATATAAGGTTCAGTCTTGAAAATAGAAACTCACATTTGATCTTGTTGTAATTTCCATTTCCTTGTTCTCTCTCCTGTCTGTCAAACACGATTTTGTGTAAATAGCTGCTGCTGGTGTGTGTGTGTGTGTGTGTTAATTATGATCATTGTTATTATTAATGTGTCATGTTTCAGCGACCCTTGTTGTTTTCTCCACTTCTGTCTGTCCTTCAGTCCAAGATGAAGCAGTTGGAGCAGGAGGCTCACAGAGCAGCAGGACAAACGTTCCTCATCACCAGCAACACACAGCTGAGAACAGTGTGTATCTGTTCTACCAATCCACAGTTATAGGAGGGCTTTTTGTTGCCTGAATTCTTGTGTGTGTGTGTGTGTTGTCTTGGGGTGTGTGCACATGTTTATGTCTGCCTGATCTGTGGGTCTGCTGTGCTTAAAGGTTCTGTTTGAGAAGCTGCGCCTCGACCTGCTCTGTGAGAACAAGAAACTCCCCAAGACCATCAACAAGCAGCAGTCAACCTCTGAGGCTGTGGTGTGACACACACACACACACTCTCACACACACTCTCACACACATATATCTTTGAATCCTGAGGTAAAAGATGTTGAACATGTCTAATGTTTGGCGTCATGTTTTTTTTTAGTTAGCAATAAATGTTTGGCGTCATGTTTTTTTTTAGTTATGAACCAATAAACCAACTGGTAAAGGAACAATGATCTAGTCCGTTTATGAGCCGGTTGTTGTTTTTCCTAGATGAGGTATAAATACACAACCAAAATACATGTCATGTGTTCCTCGTTAACATTAGGTTTTGGTCGTACTGTTTCGTAGTTGCTGCAGCTTCAGGACCTCCATCCTCTACCAAAGATCATACTGGAGTACAGGCAGGTCAGTCTGGTTTGATATCTACAACTGTCAGTCCTATGTTGGTGTAAATAACACATCGCTGCTCACAGGTACTGTGAGTGTGTGGTCTGTCAGTTCATGTGAAATTGAAGGAACATTCCAGATCACATTTTTCTGATGCGTCTTTTTTGGGTTTTTTTCTCTCTCATAGATTCACAAGATTAAGTCAACATTTGTTGATGGAATTCTTTCGTGTATGGAGAGAAAGGTGAGTTGGAGTTGGACTAAAGCTAAAGGACTTTGGTTTAACCTGTGTCCCTGAAACAAACATGTTTAAGTTATAACCAGAATAGTTGAGGTAAGATGGTACAGTAGCTTCACCTCTGAGAGAATTGGATAAAGTTTCAAACTTGACCTTGGAAGTTGTTGTTGTTGTTGTTGTTGTTGTTGTGCTGAGTCAGTTCTCCACCAGTCTGTCTAGATCTCCAGGCCTGTTTGGCTTCTGGTGGCTGTGACTCATCAGCTGCTGCTGCTGACAAACACAAATATGAGAATGACTCCACCAATGTGGAGAATCAAACATTTGTGGGACATTAGAAACATCTCATGTTGTGCTGGAACAGAAACGGAATCTTTGGTCAGTGGAGCCAGAAACACAGCTTTGGTTGAATGGAAACATGATGGATCAGGGCTGACTCAGCAAACACAAAACACAGTGTGTGTGTGTTCCTGTGTGTATATAATTTATATATCTGTGTCTCCCTGAACATGATCAGAACCACATCTCCTCCACGTGGTACCAGACCAGTGTGGTGACTGGGAGAATCTCTGCCAAACACCCAGTGAGTATCTCACAGTAACAGTCTGGTAGGATCGTGGAGCTGTCTGTGGTGCTGAATGGCAGGCTCCGCCTGGGAGTGCTGTCTTTTCTCTTCCTGGCCAATACATTTTAAAACCAAAATAACAACATTCACAAATGATGACTAAAACACTCTACAACCAAACCAAGGGTATGTTTGTTTCCCACACCCACTTTTCCTTTCCTTTACCTTTTCCTTCAGCCTGCTTTTCTTTAAGCCCCAACTGGATCGATTGTTCATTTCCACATCAGCCAACTGTCAGGGTCTAGAGGGGCTGACGCTAAATTACACAAACACACTCCCATGTATGGAGACACATTTCCTAATCGCTCCTAAAGCCCAGTGAAGTGATTGTGCTGCTGCTGAATGGTGTGTGAATGTTGGGGCAGTTGACCAGTTGACAGATTTGGACTCATTTATTTCAGTGTGGATGAGGTTTTATTGTTATAGTTTGAACAGTTTCACAGACAGATTTATGCACAGTTAAAAGCAGCGTTGACTTCTGAGCGTTTACCCTGTGGTTCAGTTGAGGTGAGTCTACACTGCAGCTAAAGGAAAGTCTGCATTAGAGCAGCACGGCTGTAAAAGAGCTGCTGAGTTCAAAGATCTGCATGGAGCGAGTTGAACTGCAGTGGAGAAGAGGGAGTTTCCTGCTCTGCCTCATCTGCAGACCTTCATCCAAAATGGAACAGAAATGGCAATAAAATTTTAAAAAATCAAATAAAATCATGAGTTAAAGCAGCACAAACACAACAACAGCAGAAAAAAGAGCAAGGGTCAAATAAATAGAATCCAGACATTATAAAAATATGCCATTGTCTAACATAATATAATAAACAAATTAGGTTCATCTTGAACATTCGTAAATACATCTGTATTTTGTTTCTTTGTAGAAACAGTTCCAACATCTGACAACAGTACCATGTGTTGCTGCATTTCCTCTTTGAAGGATTGCTTGAGGTTTTCAGCTGCTCTGATCTGAGGTCAGCATTTCACTGAAGTGTGTGTTCTGGCCCGAGACACTACTGCATGAACAGGACGCCTCGGTTCATCAGTGCAGGATCAGGAATCTCGTGGTGTTGTTGCTGGTGGAAGTGATACTGTGTGTTTGATTGATTGATAGTGGCATCGAGAATGGAGATCATTTAATAGTCTCTGAGCGTGAGTGTGTGTGTGTGTGTGTGTGTGTGTCAGGAGCAGTGGTGCTTCCATGATGCAAATACATGTGTTTGTGTTTGTACAGTAGCCGAGTGTGTGTGTGCTCTGGGATGAGTCATTAAGTTGGTGTGGTGTGATTAAATGACCTAACGCCGTCCAGTGACTCAGTCATCTGCGTCTGTTTAACCAGTGATTACTCCTCAGAGGCTCATTATGGATCGGTGGTCCAGATTTATGTCCATCTGAGCACAGGACCATTTCTGTAGTCAGTGTTTTTTTTTGTTTGTTTTTTTGGAGGCAGTGGAATTAGTTGCAAATGTGAAATAGACTTTAATTGGTAAGTGCAAATGTGAAATAGACTTTAATTGGTGACTTTAAATTGTTTCCCAAAGTGGAGGGTGAGGCCCATGTGCAGGTCCAAAGTTTTTGCAGTGATATGGAAAGTGTTAGTATTTTCTGCAGTAGCAATGTTGGCAACGTTAATGCAGGG